GCTGCAGTGGGCTGCCATAAGCTACCGTGTGTAGCCAGCAGCCAGCGTGAGCGGCCAGCAGCCGCAGTGAGCGGCCGTCCAGAGACCAGCGACTGATCTGCCTCAGCCAGGAGGAGTGCAATGATGGTGCCAGTTTGGGCCAGTGAAGCAACATCCTGCACAACTAGACTGAAGAACAAAACAACAACAACTTGTCTGTTCCCCTCCCCCAACTCCCCAATAAAAAAATCAGTCTTCCAGATGCAAACCAATTTTGCAAATTTACACAATAAGTGAACAAGGACCACATTTTCTGTTCCTTGCTGCTCACTCAGCCCTACACAAAAATGAACTTAAACACATATTGACCAGTTTAAGATTGGACCACTAATGCTTTTCCACATTTGCATGAATATACTTATAAGATCAACACACTTTTGAGAAAGCTGCTGAAAGCTGTAAAATGAAATAAACATTAAAGGGAAGCTCTGAGTCCTGTTAGAGCCACCAAGTCCAATGAAGAAGCCATTCTCTTCCATCCTCTTTTCTTCTCCAGCCCCTTCTCAAAAGAGGCATCTGGGATGCACATAAATGTAAGGGAGCGGGAGACAGAAAGAGGAAAAGAGGAAGAGAGATACTGGGTTGTCGGAAAAGTCATGACATATTTTTCCTATGTTTTTTGTTGCAAAAATGCGCCATGACTTTTCCAACAACACAATATATACATTATGGGAGGAATAATGGAAAATACCACAAAACTAACAGTTCCCTTCTATTTACCAACCCTAATTCAGTAAAAGACAGGTCCATGTGTCAACGTCACTATCAACAGGTAAAATCCTTAATGCCAAGGAATCAAGGCCCAGAAACAAACAAGAATTGAACCAAGAAGGAATAAGAGCCCAGTTAAAATGTCCAATACACACAAACATTTATTTGCTAGAGGATCCCACTGTAGTTTTAGCTGTACAATATAAAATAAAGAACAACTCTTCCCCACTCCCCCAAAAGCCAGCGTTAAGATCATGCTATTTGGCTGGAATCAGAAACCACAACCGCACACCCAATTAATCTGTCCTTGTGTTGTACATGTGTGTATACGCACACATGCGTGGATGTAAAGTATCAAGAGCTCTCTTGAGAAATGGGGCTATAAATATCTAAATAATTCAGTCAACTACCAGTGATCTAAATGTCAAACAGCCTTGATATTCCTGGGCAAATAATCCATTGTCTTGAATGTATTGCCTCTGGCAGAGCTATTAGAATGTAAGGTGATAATCCTTTTCATTCTATGCTTTATCTTTTTAAGTTTAATTTTGTTTTTAAAACCTCAATTTTAAACTCATTTTATAAAAGCACTCTCATCTAAAAGATTAGGCTGTTGGGGGAAGGGGAGGAGGGGGATTGAAAACTACATGATCAAAAGGAAAGAACTGACAAGCTGTTCCTTAAGGTCAATAACTCTGACAGCTTTTGTCTTAATAAACATCAGCCTATCAATCTTCATCATGACTTCTAGAAAAGTAGCTACTATTGATCCACTATCCAACCCAGAACACTTTATATTAGCTTCAAGTCATATTTATGTCTCAATCAAGAGTTGAGGTTATTATTGGAAAAGGATATATAACCTAGAGGAAATGACAGTTCATAATACAAGGTCTCAAGCTTTCATGAGATAGCTACAGGAATCATACACATTTCTATTTGTGTGTAATTACATCTATGTGAGACCAGTCAACAGTTATTTGTTATTAATATACACATCTTTAAAAATAAAAGCACTTATTATGTTTACATAGGACATTTGTTTATTCTAACTACATTAGCTCAATTTTAGTCCTCCAATTAGAATTAAATCTTTCATTTAAGGAATGGATAAAGAAAATGGATAAGAAAAAAAAAAGAGTAATACCAACATCTAATGAGGGGGACCTTATAGTCTCCATCACAATATAGATTAAATGGGAAAATATCAAGACAAGAAACAATATACTTGATTAAAAATTACTCACTGCAATTCATAATGATTACTCATTTTAATTACTGCCATTCCTTTCTCAAACACCAAACATTTTCAATTCATTAACATTAGGATTCATGAAGGCAAGGGGAAAAAATTACAAAATCAAAGCCATTTGTTCTTCATGCACTGAATTCAAGATCAAGGTAGTCTTCAATTAAAGATGATTTTTTAAGTTTCTAAAAATGGATAGGAGAAATTAAGTTTCGGGTCTAACCTGAGTTGGTGACAGCCATTTGCCACTAAGTGTGAATGAAGGTGGGGAGGAGGATGGATAATCTGGTGGCAGTTCAAAGTTCAGCACAAGTGGAGGCAGAAAGCAAATGGTGTATTCAAAGCCTCTATTCTGGAGACACTCATTTGAATTGCCTGAACCAAAAACAAAGATTAGAACGGATCAGTTGGTCAACACTTGAGTGTCCATTACTGCTGAGCAGTGCTCAAGAAAGACTTAATGCTTTAGCTGAGGGGATAAAAACCCTTCCCCAAAGCACTTCCTACTCCCTAGTATTAACTTCATAACCGCCACCTTAAAAAATATCTTGTAAGCCCTTGAAAAAAATCTAAGCACCATGAAATTTAAAATGAAGATACACAACTTATTCTTGTATACACTTCTGAGTACAATTCCTAACACTAGTGAGCAAGTAATACACAATGTTTGGTTGTTGTTTTACAGTAGATGATTAAAGACACACTCTAGAGAAAAGGACATTTATTTCTATCAAAGACCTACTTAGACCAGCATGTGCCAACTACCCATGAATCATAGTTGGGAGCATTTGTGCCAACACAATGATCTCAGGCTTCAGGGGCAATATACAGCACACGACACTCTCACAATCAAAGTTTCATTTTAAATGATCACACTGAACTTTCTTTTCTCAATGCCTTTATAGTAGAAACAGTCAAGAAAGTGTGCATCAAAGTCTTCTGTAAATGCTCATATCAAAAGCAGTTTTTTGGTTTTTTTCTGACGCAAAGGGTCACAGAGTAACAACACATGTCACTAGTTTATGATATTATAGTTTAAATGATTCTGGAAACCAAACAGTATTAACCACCACCATGATACTTTAAAGCTTCCTAGGAGTTCTCACATACATTATTTCATTTTCTCACTTATTATCCCTATTTAACAATCAATGATTCACGGCTGATAAACTGCTAGTTAGAAGATTAGGATACATGGAATATGCAGAATAATATCCCAAATTCAGTGGTCAAAAGGTGGAATCAAATTGAAAACTGTTTACCTCCCAGTCCAATTTTCACTTAAAACAGAAACATGTATTAAACCTGTAATAATACCATCTATCATTAATGCCTATAAACATAAGGTGATACATAATTTAGGTTTCACTAAGAAATTGAGAATAACCGTTATTTAGAAAAAACATCTGTTTAAAAGAATGTTATTAACTAACCGCTCACAAATATCTTGAAATTTTGTGGCAAGTCCAGATAGATCCTGGTTTCTCCACCTTGGACAGACTCTGCTTTTCTAAATTCATCTCCATCATAAATACTCGCCAGGGCCAGCAATTCATCTTCCTGAGCTTCTCGGTCTTCTGACGACATTTAATTTTCTGAGGATCTGAAGACAATCATTCAAATCAGTTAAGAATAGAAAAAAGGCAAAGAGTTCGGAAAAGTCTAGCGACACCAAAAAAAAACCAAAGTTCCTCACAAGCAAGTACAAAGGATTAATCAATACTCTCACTTTTCTGCTAAACTAAAAAATGACAGGCATGTCTAATATTCTAGTACCTTTGCAATGTAATAGCCTTTTTTTCAAATTGTGCTTCTAATGACTGACTTTATCAGTTAGATATGACTGATTTAGGAAAAAAAGCATAATTAAAAAAAAAACTTTTTGACAGGACAAATCACAAATTACTTGACTTGTCCACTAAATCTAGCAAAGTGTCTTGCCCACAAAAGGAGTCGAAGTATATTTGATACACTTTTTAACAACAAATGAATTTTTAAAATCTGTAGGGATCTCTAGGGCAGGTTTTCTTAGCCTCAGCACTATTGACATTTTGGAACAAATAATTCTTTGTTATGGGAGGCTGTCCTGTGCATTATAGGATGTGTAACAGCATCCCTGGCTTCAACTCATTAGATGCCAATAGCATCCCTTTCCCTCAAGAGTTGCAACAATCAAAAATATCCCCAGACAAAGACAAATGGCCCTGTGGGGAGGGAGGGCCAAAAATGCTCCAACTGAGAACACCCTGTTCTAGAGAATGTTACAGAGGTAGATACTCCATAAGAGAGTTAGATAACTGAGGAAGCAGAAAAATAACATCAGAAGTTTGAAACGATACCAGATTTTGTCAAATCAATTTTAAGATTTACCATTATTCTAGGTAACACAAATATGCTACAATTAAAGTATGAACCAATGCTTTTTAATCACAGCAACTGAAAAATGCATCACAATTTCAGATAATTTACATGTGGAAAGAATACATAATGAGAATCTATGAAAATTATTTATTGGACAACTGCATTTGCAAATATGCTCCCTCTCAACTGACATGTTTTTTTAAATTGAAATGTACAAAAATGAAAAGTTAGGACATGGTTTTTCATGTGATAAAAGGTGACACTACAAAATTTAGACAAATTCATTTAAAATGATTCCACTTTCAAAAAAATAATTTTTTTTCCAGCAGATAATGGTTCTGCTTAAGCTGCATCCCTATCTAAGATACAGTGACGTGTTCTATGAGTACCTGTTAATAACAGCCAGAAGAACAGAATATTAACACTGCAGTCTATTTCAGTCCAGAGTCTGGAATTCATGCAAATCCCATTTATCCTCCTGACGATGGAGATGAGACTGCTGAAGCTGGAGAAGAGGCCAAGGTGTGGAACTCATGCTAGATATACTATAGAAATCCTGCCATCTGCAGAAAAAAAAAAAATCAAAAGATGGTGTTAGGACCCTCTCCAAATTTAAATTCTGAATTTCTATTATCGCCACTTAAGTCAAACACATCCTAACACTTAGTCAATCCTAATCTACAGCTGCATATTACTCTCCTAGGACAGCCTAACTGAGCCACGTGAGTAAAGGGGTATCTGCATGTCCCCAGCAATGAGAGGTCTTCTAATCTGAGTCTTCAACCCTGGGAGGCGCTGAGAAGTTACATCAAGGTCATGAGAGGACAGCACACCACGCCCCATGACAAACATCTTCTTGGGTTTGTTTTTTTTCTCCTTTCCTCTTCTGCTGCTTCTATTCCTTCATTTCCTATCCCTCTCCAGTTTTGCCTCTCTCCTGCTAATGAATTCATCCTGCCAGGGGCACTCCATGTTAGGTTAATTTAAGTATGATAGCAGGATATTAAAAAACAAAATGAAACACCAAAAGCACATACAAACTTTTAAGTTCTGTTCTAAATGCTTTAGAGTCAGGCTTCTGAACTGGAAGTGAGGGGGAAGAGAGAAGTGGACCACAGATAGGTTATGAAGAATCCTATGAACATCCTAAAATTATATGCAAATTACATGAAACCATAATTTTAAAACCACAGTCTCGGATGTGTGACTCCCAAATAAGCTAAAAATAAAATTCAGAATCTATTTACATTTACTGAGCATGTACTATGTATTGTATTAGTTTCTTTCACATTATCTTATTTAATGTTAAACAAGCTTACCAGATGTGGTACCTGGTAAAAATTAGGCTTTTTGTTTCTTCCTGTTTAAACACTTATAAATGGGGTGAGAAATGAATTTATAGAGTTTCTGGATTTAGGCTAGTGTTCTCCATCTTGTCTGCACATTAGAATTACCTGAGCAATTAAACCAGGCATCAGTAGCTATCCAAGCTCTCCAGGTGACTCCACTGTGCCAGGATTGAGAAGCTCTACTCCAAGCAGTGTTTCCCATCAACAGTTCCTCATGACCTACCCCACCAGACCCCAGCTTCTGAAGCTGCCATGGGGGTCGCGGTCGCTGAATTCAGGTCGCTGACTTACATTACCCTCTGATTCTATTCACTCAGCCTTCAAGACGTACTCCACGTAGAAATGTCCAATTAGACATCATGCCTGTCTTTAAAAATCCAGCAAACTTTTTTACTGTAACTTTCCTATGACACTGTCACATCCCGCACTGCACTACTGTAGTTTATGAACTTGCACTTTCTCTCCTACAAGACTGCATTAATTCCTTAAGGGCGAGAATCAAGTCTTTTGCATCTGTTTATTGTTCTCAGCATCTACAGTGCCTTGCACTAAACACTGGAAAGAAACAGGAGTGAACTGGGGTGAAATGCAGCGTGCTGAAATGGGGTACCAGAATCATAAGGTTCAGTGACAGCTCTGCTACATCCCACTAGAAAGCAGGAGGGTGGGTTGGTGAAACAATAACAGCAAGAACAGTAGCTCTCACCACGTGTAAACCCTTTAAATGCATTAACTCCTGTTAGATTCCCACAACCCATGAAACAAGTCCTATTACTATTTCAATTACACAGATGAGAAAAATGACATTTTAAGTCCTTAGGGCCCAAGGTCACACAGCTAATATATAACTAAACGTGGATTCAAACCACCCTGTTTCTTCATCTGTAACACAGGAACGAGAATAAACCCCGACGCTATCAGACAAGAGATAATTGAAGTTTAACATCAGTTTTGGCAAACCGGAAACTGCTACACTGGTGGGGGAAGCCCCTCCTCCGCCGGGTTTCCCTGAGCCCTGAGAAAATGCTACTCATTCTCCCAGGCCACACCATGCAGTCTCCAGCCCTGGCTCCGGGATCAGCACGCCACCGCCGGTGTCTCCACCGTTCACCACTCTGAGTGTTGAGTCGTAGTTTGTGCGACTCACCTACAAACCGGGGGGCAGGCCCAAGTCCCGCTAACTGCCCCAGAGCTTGGACACAGAGGACGCTGTGCCGGCGTGTGAGGTCCCGAGGAGTAGGGCCTGGAGCCTCCCCTTCTTCCTCTGAGCGCCCCGGGGGGGTCTTAGCCGGGCCGGGCTGGGTGCTCCCCGTCCTGGGTTTGGGGGGCTATGACCCACTGAGCAGTCCCAGCCCGGCCGCCCTTCTCCGCCTCCCGCACCCGGAGCACGGTCCCCACCGTACCTTCCGGCCGCCGCACCGTGCCGGGTCCGAAAGTTCCGCCCTCCGCCTTAGCCCCGAGTCCCCTCACCTCCTCTCGCCCACCCGGCCCAGAGAAACCTAGCTCAACCTAAGCACCGCCTCTTCCGTCTTCGGAGCTGTCAGCTGAGCTAGGCGGATCCGGCTGCAGCGGCCCGGCGTGAGGAGCTCTGCGCAGCCGCCGTGTCCGCCTCGGCCCCTCGGCGGCCCACCGCAGGCCAAAGGCGGCGCTGCAGGCTGGACCACAGTCACCTCCACCACCTCCCAGCAAGCTTAAGTGCTATGCCTCTTGAGAAGTTGATACACATGCAGATCTGTGTTTGTATAGCGACCTCGTGCCCAGGGGTCTCCTTTCAACAGTTCTGGGATACAGCCGGGGAATTACAATTTTTACCAGTCCCTAGAGGTGATCGCGAGGCAGCAGTCTACCTGGGGCGGACATTCCCCCAACAATCCCAGATCTGCTCTCCCAGGTAGATTTAAATAAGCCTCCTCTCCCTCCCCCAATCTCAAATACCTTCTCAGAAATGCTGCCCATCTTTTTCCTCCACCATGAAAGCATTCAATCATTGCTCATACTGTAACAGTAATAACTACCACAGATATGGAACAGTGAGGGTGTTTCAAGCACTGTGGTAAGTCTTTTATTTACATTGTCTCTTTATCTTCACCATAACATGATTTAGGTACTATTTGTATTCCCAGTTTATAAAAAAAAATTGAAACTTAGGTTCAAGAACTTACCAAAGGGCGCATGATTATTAAAAGGCTGAGCGGGAATAAAAATTACATGTTTCATACCTCATGCTACATACAAAAATTAACTCAAAATGGAACAAAGACCTAAATATAAGAGCTACAACTATAAAACTCTTAGAAGAAAATGTAGGAGTTAATATTTGTGAATTTGGATTAGGCAATAGTTTTTTTTGTTTGTTTGTTTTTTTAGCTGAGCCATCCTCCCACCTGTTGGCAGCTCAGTGGCAGCTCAGCTCGGGCCGGGCATTAGAACAACTGTCTCTCAGAGCTCACACTCTTGAATGAGCTCTTAACCAACTGAGCCACTCTGCAGGCCCTTGGGCAATAGTTTTTTAGATAGTCCACCAAAAGCACAAGCAACAAAAGAAAAAATAGATTCATCAAAATTAAAAACTTTAGAGCCGGCAGAGTGGCACATTGGTTAAAAGTTGGCGCGGGCCGGACGAGTGGAGCATTGGTTAAGAGCTAGCTGGCCCGGGATGCCTGAGGGCCCCGGTTTGGATCCCACATACGATGGGCCAGTGACACTGCCCTCTACAGTTAGGATGCTGAACAACAGCTCAACCTGGAGCTGGGTTGCCATGAGTCGCTGGCCACAGCATAGGCTGCAGCCCCTGCTGCAGTGGGTTGCAATGGGCTATCATGTGTAGCCAGCAGCCAGCGTGAGCAGCCAGCAGCTAGTGTGAGCGGCCAGCAGCCGCTGTGAGTGGCCGTCCAGAAGCCAGTGACTGATCTGCCTCACCTAGGAAGAGCGCAATGATGGTGCCAACTTGGGCCAGTGAAGCAACATCCTCCACAACTAGACTGAAGAACAAAAGGACAGCAACTTGTCTGTTCCCCTTCCCCCAATTCCCTAGTGCTGTTCCCATCCCCCAATTCCCCAATTTAAAAAAAATCTTTAAAAACCCAAAACTTTAATTTTCTAATAAAACACTATCAAGAAAGTGAAAAGTCGGGGCCGGCCAAGTGGCTCAGTTGGTTAACAGTTACCTTAAGAAAGTGAAAAGTCAACTCATAGATAAAAATATTTGCAAATCATATATCTGATAAAGGTCTAATATCAAAATATATGTATATATTACATACATATATATAAAACTACAACTCAACAATAAAAAGAAATAACTCAATTTAAAAATGGGCAAAAGATCTGAACATTTTTCCAAAGAAGATATACAAATGGTCAGTAAGCACGTGAAAAGATGCTCAACATCATTAATCATTAGGGAATACAAATCAAAACCACAGTGAGAAAACACTTCACACTCACTAGGATGTCCATAATAGAAAGACAGGTAATAATATCAAGTGTTGGTGAGGATGTGGAGCAATTGGAACCCTCATGCACTGTGGGTGGGAATGTGAAAATGGTACAGCTGCTTTGGAAAACAACCTGACAGTTCCTCAAAGAGTTAAACACAGAGTTACAATAAGACCTAGCAATTCTACTCCTAGGTATATACCCAAGAGAATTGAAAACGTGTTTGCACCAAAACTCATAAACAAATGTCCAATTACAGTTGTATATATTTATTTGTAATACTGTACACAAATGTACACCATAGCAGCAGTATTCACAATAGCCAAAAAGTAGAAACGGCACAAATGTCCATCCATGGATAAATGGATAAACAAAATGTTTATCCATACAGTGGAATATTATTCAGCTATAAAAAGGAAAGGAGTACTGATATATGCTACAACATGGATGAGCCTTGAAAACATTATGCTAAGTGAAAGAAATCAGACACAAAAAGCCACATATTGTATGATTCTTCTATATAAAAATGTCCAGAATAGGCAAATCCATATGGACAGAAAAGTACATTAGTGGTTGCCAGGGGCTGAGGCAGGAAGGCAAATGGGGATGGTCTTTCTTTTGGAGGATGAAAATATTGTGAAATTAGATAGTGATGACTATTGCACAATTTCGTGACTATACTAGAACCACTGGATTGTATACTTTTAAAGGGTGAATTTTATGTGAATTATATCTCAATCAAAAAAATTTTTAGGTACAAAGCACTGTTCTCAGCACTTAAGTTGGATGCCAACGCGTTGGTTCCTGCTCCTGGGAAGCATCAAACTAATGTGCCCCTAAGGATTTAATAAGCTCCTGTGTCTTCATCATATAGTTCTCCTCGCAGCTTGCAGAGCTAGACCTCTAACCCAAGCCTACAAGGACTCTAACAGTCTTAACCACCACCGCCTTCCAGGCAAGATTGGCTTCATGGGCCAGCCACCTGTGCGGCCACGTAGGGTCCTGTGCTCAGAAGGGCCTCAGTGTTAGAAGGGCCCTGCTCTTAGTCTAATGCTCTGCTATAGCCATCTTGAGATTCTTAATAATTTTCTAACAAGAGGCTCTGAATTTTCATTGTGCACTGGGCTCCACAAATTATATTGCTGGTCCTGTACTCAGAAGAGGAGAGAAAAACCAAATGGGTAAACTGGGGTACTGGAAGGGTTTACCTGGCTGCCACAGAGGGGAGACTTGAAATGCAAACAATCGCTCCTAGTTTTCTATACAGTAAATCTTGACTATCACAGAACAGAAACTTAACTACCTCTGTAATAAATACCAAAAGCAGGAACACACTCTTTAAAAATGCAGAGGAAGGAAGGAAGAACTTCTGAAGCCATTCACTAAAGTCATTATTCATGTTTAGCCAAAGGAAATACAACCAAGAGCAAAACGCATGCAACCCTACCTCAGAGCGCTCAGAGGTGGGACTATGAATCCTGCCAGAGACCTCGCAGATGCAAAAAGTGAGGGGGCCCAAGAACCAGCTCGGGAAATTCTCACAAAGTTAGAGCAGGAGGTGAATTGTGACATCATGTTGTGACCTCATGTCAGAGGCCTCAGGCTGGAGGGAATAGAAGAGAGAATTTCACAGCAGTGTTAATAATCTGGGTGAATGTTTAAAGCAGACTAAACATTTAGAGTCCAGTTTTGAGGTCAGGATTGGATAAAGGGAGTTTTCTAATAAATTTTGGTTTTAGACTCCATAAAAATAAGTTTTGTGTTGTTGGTTTCTTAAGTTTGGCTAGTCTTTTAAATGAACCATGAGCTTACCCCATGTGCCCAGCCCCTCCATTGTGTTAAGTAATTTACATGCATTATCTCATTTAAACACCCAGAACCCCAGGACTGAGGTAATTTTGTCTCCCTATTTTACAGATGAGGAAATTGAGGCACTAAGGGGTGAAGTGATTTGATCAGTGTCATACAGTGGTAACAGACATACAGGATGAGGACCAATTCCTCATCAGCCTGACCCTCTCCTGGACCATAAGAGAATTAAGTTTTCATGTAAGAAATACAGATAGAACAAAATAGTTCTAGCCTTAAGAACTAAAAGGGAAAGTGTTACAGAAGTTAGGATTAGAGTTTATGACATAGTATAAATTAGAATGAGAATACAGAGAAAGAGACCCAACTCTGGGCCTTTTCCCCAGGGATACAAGATGATAGAGTCTAGGGCTAGGAGAGGATGATGTGTGTGACCTAGACCAGGGGTCAAGACCCAGGCCATTGAGTAGAGAAGCAGGAGTTAGTCACAGAATATGTCTGGTGCTGTTGGGGCCCGCAGGCCTTCCATCAATGTCTGTACTTGTTCCCATCCATCGCTGGCACCCAATCGGTATCCAGAGACTTTGCTGAGCTCATCCTACCTGCCCAGTGGGGACAGCCTCCTTTTCAATGGTCATCACTCACAAGCACCCCTGAAACAAGCCTT